AACTATGATATATCCAGATCACATCTAAAATGTGATGCTCTGGAGATTATTTTTGTGAAAAACAAGAAGTGAGTTGTCACGAGAAATAGAATGGTTGGTTCGCATTACCCTCACTCCAAAATAAGATGCATGTTATGTTTTTTGTGCCAAAAGCAATCAGATTGAACCTTGTCACCGATTTCTATTTTTATAGAAGAACCTTTCCAAATAAAAGAAATTCGAATATTTAAAAAAAACTAAGAGTTAGTCACTATACCGCATACTTTTACACTCAAGCAAAACAAGAAACATGTTGGTTAAATAGCCTTGCACTGTGAGTGTTTTATTGTTTGCAGTCTTTAAAACACGTGTCTTTGAAGACACGCACCACTGTACATGCATTTCTATGGAGTCTGTGCGCGCTACTGTGGAACGCCGGTTGAGCCGGTGAAAATTCGAGAAAACAACACAAACTCAACTTTGAAGTAATCCTGAACAACCAAATTTATGTATGTTACACACGTAGGGCTAATCTTGTTACACTGTTCAGGGGAGTCTCAACAACGATCCTAAAGTATCGTTTGCTGCGAGTTTTTGGCCTTTGTTTTTCACCGCAAGGGTTGCCAAGCGGTGAAAATGCCCGGATGTCCGCCCCGAGTATATAAATTGTTGCCGGTTAATGTTGGTACTCTTCATAAAGGCAATTGTGATTTTAGACATATCGGTTGTAAAGCATTTTACAATTATTAAATTTTAACTAATTACATAAATACATGGTATCTGCCCAGGGATTGTTGGTATAATTAAATTGGAGTATGGGCACCCAATCTCGAACATAATTTTGTAAAAACGCCTTATAATGCGTACAAACATTTAAAAAAAATAATCCATTCTGTACGAGAACATAAAAACCAGCTCTTTATTGCGAGGGGATTCACCGGAATTCTGAACGTCGTGTATGATGATATACATGTTCACCAACAAAATTGGCTGATTGGTATATTGGGGGAGTTTCACAAAATGT